AGCTCTAAACCAAACCATGAAGGTTCTACTGAGTTCTTCCAGGGTTTCTCATCCTCATACCGTTGTTATCAGCAGCTCCTTGTTGGTGGACAACTCTCTGTCACCTGTTTTCCATTTATACGTCACAGGTTCAAGGTCAGCAGTGACTTGGGCTTCACAGGTTAGACTACAGCTGGTCTTTTCATGGTTGTACTTCATGGATACTGTGGGTTTTGGGACCGGTTCTGACAGAAACAGGAACAGATTATCTCAACTTGATTCAGGTTAAAACCTAACAAACCTCAGTCAAACCTGCTGAACTCACTGATAACCTGGAGTTCCTTCTTCTCCAGAACTTTGTTGTTGATCTCAGGTGTGTAGCTGCCTCTGTCCTCTAGAGTCAGATTGTTGATGGTCAAACTTCCACTTGTTTTATCAAAGTCACAGCGACCTGGAAGCAGGATCCAGATAAAGACATCATGAATGATGTTAATCTGCAGGTTCTTGGGTTTTAAAACAATTTCTTGTTAGCAGTTCAGCTGACCTTCAAAAGTTCTATAACTAACAAGTTCCTGCCCAAACCACTCCACGGCAAGGTCTGCGTTGTGCTTCCATGTTGCTGACTTGATGGTCTCTGAAATCGGACCTGGATTCAGATCAATGGAGCCACCAACTTTTCCATAGATCGGATCAGCTGTGAATGAAAAACAAGAACATTTTCTTTCTGTTTAATCCTTTCTATCATATCGGCTGTTCAGATCTACTTTAGTTTGAGGTTTTTCTCTACACTGAGATACAAAGAAAGGTCTAAAGATATCACCTGAAATGATGTGGATTTGTTTTACATTTCTAAAATTAAAAGATCATTAAAACATTAAATCACTACATCAAATGAACGGAAATAATGACAAAGGAGGGATTTTCTTCTTAAACTACCAGCTGATTGATTCAAAACTGATTCATTGACTTTATCTGTTAATTTAAGAAACTATTTTAAAATAACTACTAAAGTAATAATCTAATTTGATCACCTTTAGTATATCCTGCTGATTAACAGCTTCAATAATGAGTTTAGGTGACCTTTACTGATAATCACTGCCCGTCTGTTCTTGATGCTGTAAACATAATTAATTTGAATAATTTGAATAATGAATTGAAAACTGCTAAAAATGGTCAAAAACACATTCAATATGTTTTTAAACTTTGTAAAATAGGGAGCTTTTTCAGACAAGTATCTGATTTTGGTTCTAGATATTTTAATATCTAATATAAATTTTAAAAAGGGTCAGATCTCAAAAGCTTTGAAGGATCTATATTTCTAAACATAAAATAAAGAACAAATGCAGTCTATCCTGTGCACCACCTGATTTCCCCGTGGGTAAACAGTTGGGGGGGCAGATTTTAAAATCATAGGAGCAGCCTCAAAAAATGCCTCAGTTTATAAACTTTTTGAATGTTTTATCAAATTTAAACTTTAAACCATTAAAGTTTTGTTTTTTTTAACCATTGAAATCTGCAGTGTTTATTTATTTATTTATTTCAGCTTCTACAATTAAAAAAGGTTGCTTGTTCTCTCTAAGAAGCTCTTGTGTGTGAGAGTATAACATTTGGATCTATGTTTATATTCTGTGTTAGTGTTGATACAACAGTAAAATGTCCCACCACTGCCGATCCCTTAATGACATTGGTCTCATGAGCAACATACTTGAAAAAAAGTGTGTTGAAATGATTTTTTTCAGGTTTTAAATTTGAACTTGTAGATTTTTTATTTTATTTCAAACGTATGGCCCTGTTTTGTTGTGAGGGGCCGGGCATCAGTTGCCTGGGGTGTGTGGTATCATGACTAAAAGGTCAACCCGGATGTTGCATTCAGGGACCGTTGGAACTGCAAAATGTCTTTAAAACATTGATTGGTTTGGAAAAGTAACAAGCTTCACTGATAGAAGCTGCTTACATAAATACACAATGTGAATCTCAGAAGATAAAATATGATCCTGACAGACTGTTTACAGCATTTTAAGTCTATGTTAGAGTTTACCCTACAATCTTCGTTGGTTACTATTGTCAAACATGATCATAAATTTATCGATGGCATTTCTTATTTTTTTAAAGAGTACATGTTTTATGACAGGTCCATGTAAAAAAGCTAATGAAAAAAGTGTAGAAAAAGCTTTTTTCAATCTAAACGAAACAAAAAGCGAAATAAAAAAAAGTCATGAGTTAGGATAAAGCGAGGAACGCTCTTCAGAGCCACCCGCCAGCTCTGCCAAGCTCTGGCTCTAAACTACTGCTATCCTCCTCCGATCTCCTGCTTTTAGCTCTCTTTCCTCCAAAGCAGGGTCAATCTGCCAGCTCTGTCCCAAACTGGTCCACTTTCTGCTGTGGGTTTGGAAAATAGTGTAGCAGAAAAAGGGGAAAAGTCAACTATGGAATCTACATAAGGAAGATGAATGTGTTAAACTGCTAGTAATGATTCCACTTCCCAGTCTTCTGAGGCCTCGCCCCCACGGCAAATGATGCAGTACATTTGGAAGGTGAAAAAATTTTAGTTTAAGTTTAAAACATAAACTGCAAGCTAAAACAAAATGTATCTGAAATATCGTTTAATGTTAATTAATCTTATTTTTCAGGTTTAACTTTTTTTTGTTTTGTTTTTTTCCTTTTTTTCAGGTTGGATTTTTTTTTATTACAAACCTTTTTTCAGATTTAAATGTTTTTCTTTTTATCAAACTGTTTTTGAGATATATATTTTTTCTTTTGAACAAACCTTTTTTTCAGGTAAAATTTTGTCTTTATTTTATTTTTTCATTTTATTTTTTTTTTTTTAAACACATTTTTTTTTGGCCCAAATGTAGCTCCATACAATGCGTCACTCAACCGTTTCTTTCCTAGACGAGGAAGCTGGAAAAGGTCATAAAGTAATGAATTACAGTGTAAAAATCCACTCACCGCCCGGAATGGTTACAATGAGAGCTTCTTTTACTATATTAGGGGGTTTAGTTCTGAATATTTAACGCTTTTTCTTGATTTTAATCAAACTGGGCCTGAATACGGGATCTAATACATTCTAATCCCTCTTTCACTTTAACAAACTAATAACATTTTACGTCAATGCGGTACTAACTAAATAATATCAAACGCACTATGTGCGTTTATGAAGGGCTTTGATAAAGCAGCAGGGAATAAAGCAATAACATCAGTATATTAATCTTTATACTCACCTTCGCTCCGCAAAGTCTGGCTGGTAACGATGAGGAGAGCGGGGAGAATCCAGGACATAAACATGACTATAAAATGAAAAAGACTGACTGCAAAAACACAATTTAGGCAGATCCGACTAAAGAGGAAGGTCTGTGGAAAAACTGATGTTTATGAGCCGCATGGAGAGAAGAATAATGAAGGAAAAAAAATCGAGCCGACATTAATACGGGAGTAGCCAATCGGCATTAAACGAAAATGAAAGTAACTTCCAAAGAAATAATAAGGAAATGACGCATCTGCTATTTAGTAAACATTTAAACAGATCTCCGGATGCTCCTTAATAAAATGGTAAGTTTATATTTGTGAGAATACTATTAATATCTCAAGAAAGCCAAACACTGGACAAACTCATAGAAGACTGAAAACAATAATTTCTATCTCATCTGATTTTTCTTTATGGATATTTGAAGTGTCTCTAAAAATGTAAATGTTGAAAAATAAAACAAAAACATAACAACAAAAAAAGGATTGTGCTTAGTCACTTTAAGGGGGCGGGGCCAAATGCCATGAGACCATCCAGCACTGTGTCAAACATTTTCTATGTTTGTGCATCTCTGTGTCTTGTCAAAGCAATGGCTCTAGTCACAGTTAATGCCTCACAATCATCTTCTCTCTTTGCTCCCACTAAACTGTCCTGCAGTATGTAATAAAATAGCACTCTGTAAACGGCCAGGCATCTTCCCTTTCAGACTTATTGCTGGACTACAGCAGTTTTCCCTATGGAAGTCAGAGCAGATTAAAAACATATGTTTGTAATTTGAGATAGTTTGTTTTTATTTTGCCAATACAAACCAAATGCAACCCGAATGGCAACAAGTGAGAAAAGCCATTGATCCTCCACTTTCCAACAGTAGAGAACAGCTCTCTGAATTGGCTGAAACTTTTATAATCCTTTTAAATAAGTTGCACCTCAATGTTCTACTGCTTTTTGCACCGTATTTACTTTGCAATGCAGATCAAATTTTCATAAAGTTTGCACAATAGAAACTTTTCACCAATATTTTTGCACCACGGAAACTTTGCACCATTATTTTTTTTACTGTTTTTCCTTTTCTCCTATAGCGTTAACATGATGATCACAGCAGCACCTTAAATAGTAATGTGCATTTCTCTGTTGGAAGCTGTACGCAACGTAATTTCATTTAGTATACACTCTGTGTATACTAAATCTGTATACAGTGTATACAAAATGACAAAAAGGTTTGTCTAATTTAAATTCAAACTTAAAATTTGTGACATACCAACTTCTCAACTGTCACTAAAACTATACATCGTCAGAAGAAATATAAAAATGTTAAATAGGAACAACTTTGAACACAGTAAAACCATCTAAGGTTTCACTGATGTCGAATGCAAAAGAAAAGGTTCCAAGATGAGCTTTGAAAGAAGGTGATGAAGAAGCCTCTAATGCAGAGGTGCTGAAGTCTGGTCATCAAGCGCTACCATCCTATAACTTTTAGATGCATCTCTTCTCTAACACACCTGAATCTAAAGGCTCAATCCCCTCATTTGGCTCAGCAGAGGCACAATAATGAGCCATTCATTTGATTCAGGTGTGTTGAATATGGGGTGCATCAAAAAGTTGCAGGATAGTAGCTCTTGAGGACTGGACTTGAGCACCCCTGCTCTGATGTGCAGGATTTGGTTTCCTATATATGCAAGTCTGAAGTTCAAATTCTGCCCAAAGAGAGGGCACCTTTCTTTATTGAAGAAACATTATGATATAAGCTCTCATGTTAGTCTCCTTCCAGCAGAGCTCCTCTTGTTAGCTTTGTCCCAACATGGCTAGAGACACAATGTAAACAGGATGCCCTGCTCTTCTATAGAGGCCTAATATGTGGAGCGAATGACTAATAGCTCTCCTGCCTGCAGAATCAACCCAAACCGTGGATCTCTGCAGCTCCTCCAATGTTACCATGTTAATTATAAATGATCTCCTTGGCTGACCTGTCAGTTCAGGTGGACGTCCATGTTTTGGTAGCTATGCAGGTGGGTCATCATCTCTGTATTGAATGCAAATATGCAGATATTAAAGCAGTCTGAGCTGTTTATCATGAGACAGAAAACAGACCTTTGTCCTCGTGTGGTGATCAGAGCAAATCATCCTCAGCGTGGACCTCTGGGTTCTCAGTCTGGCTGTTCTCATGGTCCACAGGAGGTGATGGAGGTGGAGGGGATTTTCCCAATCCTCAGCTCCTCAGCGGAGGAGGAGATTTTTTATTTATTTTTTTTTTCCTTAACGGCACTAGTGGCTTGTTTTTATGGACAGTAGGCTGACATGATCAAAAAGGGTATATGAGAGAAGAGGAGAGACATGCAGGAAACGACCAGAGGCTGGATTCGACTACCCAGGTCGCCCGGGTCAACGACTAAGGCCTTGCTACATGGGTCATGTGCGCTAACCACTGCCACACCAAAAGCAGAACTAGGGAGCAGAAGCTGTTCAAACTTCCAAACATTAGAAAACTGCACGGGTTGTAACTGTAATCGAGGCATAAATCAAATGTGTTCATCTTTATTTCAAAAGCACTTTAAAATACAACTCAGTTGGCCAAAGTGTTTTTCACATCCCAAATGATAATAAAATAAGAGATATAAAATGTAATGATTAAAGAAAAGTAAAATAAAGCAAATTTACAATGAAGCAAAAACAAAAAAGAGAGCAGGTACGTAAAAAATAAAAAAACTAACTTTAAAATCTAGTAAATGGCCAGAGAGAAAAAAGTGTTTTAAAGGGATCCGTGATTAGTAACTAAGAATAAACTTTGCTTGACAAATATTTATTTTCAATGTAAATACAATATAGTAAAAATACTGCCAGCTGATGATTTAAATCAAATATTGTCACACATTCGTCCCCATGTTGTTTACCCTGCAATGTATTCTGGGTAAATGATGTATGTTAGATCTGTAGCATTTGATCTGTCCAGCTGAAACATCAAGTAATGTTAAACCTTTTCAGTTTGAACCACAGTACATTAAAAATTATGGAAATGTAGAAATCACAGGAGATCTATGAGATCAGGAGGCCTAAATAGAGAAAGATTAGAAAGTTGCCCCATGAAAGTGACATTTGTGTGGCTGCTGCTAGGAGAAGCTGAACCAGGTGGAGAGCTATGCAACTAAGATAAATTTGTAAAATAGGTTTTTTTTGCAGTTAGAATCAAAATCAAAACATCCATTTTCCATCACGTTTATCCCAAGCGGGGTCACGAGGGGTGCTGGTGTCTCCAGCTATCCATGGGCAAGAGGCGGGGCACATCAGTCCATCGCAGGGCAACACAGAGACATGCAACCATTCACTCACACCTAAGGATTATTTAGATAATTTAGAGAAGCCAATTAAGCTAACCTTCATCTTTTTGGACTGTGGGAGGAAGCCGGAGTACCCGGAGAGAACCCACGCATGCTCAGGGAGAACATGCAAACTCCATGCAGAAAGACCCTGGTTCAGGAATCAAACCTGGAACCTTCTTGCTGCAAGGCAGTAGTGTTACACACTGCTCCAGTTTCTTAATTATATTAGAATAATGTGTAACAACTGAAAGATACTTTTCTTTCACTTTGAACAGTCATTCATTATATTCCGATTAGATTTTGATGACCTAGTGCTAACAATGTTAGCGCTATTTAACATAGTAAACAACAGATAAGAAGCTGATCCCATTTGTTTGTAACAAATATCTGATGAATAAGAGCTCATAAAACTTTGAGGCAGCGATGCAATGTTGCGTCTAAATATCAACCAGTCAAACAATATAATAAGAAACTACTCTGGTAAATTTAGCCTTCCTGTGTTTACTTTGCATGTTTCAATCCAGTTAAGACCTAAACATGTCTTCAACCCAGCATGCATTGTGTATGTAAAAAACAGCAATTTTAAGTTAATAAAAATATTACCACATATAGCCAAACATATTCATCTAGTTGTGGATCCCTTTAAGACAAGATTTCGAAACAGAAGGTAACTTTGTCTGCTTGGCATGCAAACTAATCAGTGTGATGACAGAGAAGGAGTGGTCACCTCGCTGCTGTCTTTGGCCTCCTGATGACTGACAGGCAGTGTTCAGATAAAGCTGGTTCAACAGATAAAGTATTGGAGGAAAGGTTATCAATACATTTAAAAGCATTTATAACTAAATTAACCAAAAATGAACTAGGTGCCAATGAGTTGCTGCTAAAACAGGTGAAATTTGATAAAAATTGAACAGAAAAATGCTGCAAATACAAAAGATGGAAAAAAAACAACAAAATGCTGTAAATACAAAAAACATCAAGTCAAAATCTGCAGCAATCTCTTAAAAAAACAAAAGTTCACCAGACCACTAGGAGTCGACCATAAAGTCACAAGGAATCAGATTTGCAGTAAAAAGACATTTACAAGACATAAAGAAAAAGATAGGTTTACTATATATCTTTTTCTAAACATAACTCTTATCTTTTCTATAATTAAACAGCAGCATAGGTGACCATTATTTTGACACTGTATTTTAATAAAATATTTACTTTTTAAACCATCCTGTCACAATCAGGTCTAAAAGTCACCATAAAAATCTCCAGTTTAATTGAGGCAAACATATAATCCCTCACCGCCCCTTTTATCGATCAGGTCAGTGTTATAATAATCTATATATTTAGAAGTCATTTAGATTGTCATAATTTGTTTATTAATCTATTTTTTTCCATTGTTGGCTTTTAAGAGGCAAAACTGTTTTGCATGAAATGTATTTTCTTTGTAACATTGCAGTATAACTGTGATAAAACCTTTTTTTTTTTACAATGCACAACAAATATCATGTTTATACATTTATAAATATATTCCTATTTATTTATATATTTTTATGAAGTGATAATGTATTTAATTCTTACATTTGTCATATATATTTTATGCCTGATACAATTATTACCTATTATTCAAATATATCTTCATTATTTCTAAACATTGAAATGTATTTCAACTATGTTGTTTTTCCATGAAAATAATTGCAAAGGTTTTATTTTAGATTTCCCTGCCCTTTGGATAATTTAGAGCAGCAGAGCATGATTCTATTCTATGATATGCTAATTTTGTGAGATGGGAATTTGGGGTTTTCATGAGCCGTATGCCGAAATCATCCGTCTTAAGACAATAAAAGACCTGA